AACTTAGAAGCAGAGGCAAACAATGAATTTCATTTTCTTGATGTTCGATTGAAAAGAATACCGGATGGTTTTTTACAGATATATATATATATATATATATATATATATATATATATATATATATATATATATATATATATATATATATAACCTACTTGCAATGGATAGTGTACGAATTTACATAGTTGGGTTTGACTGAGTAGAAAGAGGAAGTTAGTTCACTCTTTATCCTCTAGGATCAAGCGAATCTGTTTCACTGACACAATAGATGAGAAATTATTTCAACTTCGAGAAACTCGCATCAAAAATGGTTATCCACCTAAACTCGTCGATAGCAACATAACACCTACCAGCTAGAAGCTTAAATCTGTAATATACTATGTTCAACACTATGAAGTACTTGCTTTCGATCATTCGTATTATTTCATAAGGATATTTCATTTTCATAAAACTGACATTTATGTAATCCAAACATTCAGTGATTACATTCAGAATCTCAATGTGCTATATTGATAATTAATCCATTTCAGTATATCAATTTGTAATCATCAGAATTAGGAACTCATTTACTAAAACGTTAATGAACAAAGTAACATTTATCATTTAATTAAAAGAGAAGATTATAATTGGAGAGGGTTTTTTGAATTTGTAATCATCAGAATTAGGAACTCATTTACTAAAACGTTAATGAACAAAGTAACATTTATCATTTAATTAAAAGAGAAGATTATAATTGGAGAGGGTTTTTTGAATATTATGGTAATTTAATAGTTGAATTCATGAGTCATTTGAAGAGACCTATAGGTTCTGGGTTCAAATCTCGCGAAGCAGGATCGTGGATGAGCATTGCTGAGGAGTGACATACTAGGACGAAACGCTCATTTAGTGCTTCCAGGTTTTGCATGGTGGTCTAGCTTTAGTTGACTCATGAATTCAACTATTAAAACAGAAGAGTTGTAATGTGAATCTATGGTTTATGATATTGTAAAGATTTTCTGAACAGTATTTATTGAATTTAAGCAAAAATGGATAGTGGTTAGATGTAGACTCAAGTCAATATCGAGACAATCCCTACAGGTACACATATGCTAATAAGAGATTAACCAATTGTAGTCCTAAACATTAATGGGAAGTGTCAAACAATACAAAAGTGAATTAAAAGTTCACTACATTGTATAAGCTAGTAGCTACATGAACTTAGTAGCTATGTGGATAACGTGATGGCATTTGGAGTGAATGGTACTGAGTTGGAGTCTTGAAGTGAACATCAACTGTGGAATGCAGGTACATCTAGCTGACGAGTTTGAAGTAGGACGCAATACGGCTCCTGGATTCCACTACTAATCACTATTCAAATATAGTTCCATTATATTCAATTAGGACAATAAGCGATGACGTAACTTTTTATGATACTGTCTACATTTCTGACATTTTTTTAATGATCATTTCAACTACCTACTACTTAGGATAGTTTGTTTAACTTGAAAGTGTACCTTTTCTTAAATGGTAGCAGGAAGTGTTCCGAATATGATGAAACGTTAAGTAGAGGTTAGTACAAGGAAACTGTGTATTTGTAAGTAATATCATAATTATCTTCTAGATAGTAAACCGTACAAGGAAAATGAAAAATGTCCACAACTGACTGATCACTGGGTGGTGGTCAATGTCATGTAAGTCAGGTCCTTTTAATGCAGATCGAATCCTATCGACCAAGTTGCAATGTAGCCACTAGTATAAATGACTTGATATTGCGTGCACTATGTTGAGATAAGATGGTGATTGGAGGCAGTCAACAGGAAACTCTGTACCTAGAGTTTCGTGCCACTTGGAACTCGTCAACAAGGTTTACCTATAATCTTAAGGGTGCTGACGCTCCCTGACGGATTCGATCTCGAATCATCTAGCTTCACAGTCAGAGACGTTACCATTGAGTTATCCAGATCTACGTATAATATATTTATTCTTAAGAATGTTTGTCTAAATCAAATACAGTGACTTCCATAAATATAAGTGTAAACTATATGTGAGAATATTTTATCTCAAATGTAACCCAAAAACAAGATAACGTATATCTCTACTCATGATAAAAACTTATGCCACAAATCAGATCATAAAATCATGCTGTAAATCATACTGTACATATAAACATTGAATACCTATATCCTTTACATCTCTTTTGATTAACATTAACAAACACAAGAGTAGTATGTGCTTAAGACTATTTACATATTTAAAAGAAGAAACTTATGAAATTTGAGAGTAGGCAAGTTTTCATTCACTGACTGCTTATTCTATTCAAATATCTCATTTATTTACTTATTCAATTTATGTTAACTGTTAATGTAAACACATTAAGTAAATATGAGATGAGAGTGTAGTTTAATTAATTTTCATTTTATCCCACCTATTTTATAATTTTGTTTGGGTGTTTTCGGTGTTAAAACGTAAGGATCATTTATTGGACATCCGGATTGACTTCAGTGAAATGACAGCATTCAGATTGTAGTTTGTATAACTCGCCATCATTATCAAACATGAGCACATGAGTGTTTTCTGTCAACATTCCAAAGGTTGAACATCCTAGCGGAATATCTCCATATACAGCGGGTAGAAACTATTGGCAGGTTAATATTGTTCCTTGACAACCTTGTTATATTCAAATCGAAAAAGGTTTACAAAAAATTACTAATAATAAATTAGACATGTAAACACATTCAATTTTATGAAGCAACTATCTATTCGAATAATCTACGAATATGAGGAGGAATATTTAAAATATGCTGGTGTAATATACGATTAAAGCTAGACCACCATTGTAAACCTGGAAGGAATGGATAGCCGTCTTGTCCTAATATAGGACTCTTTAGTAGTGTTCATCCACGATCACTCAACGAAAAGACTCCAACCTAGAACTGTCGGTCTCGTGCGCGTACGCTTAACTTCTAGAATACTGAGTCAGGATCCAATGGTGTCAATGTCTAACTTCAATCGATTCATGATCTTGCACAACCCTTCAACTATTGTGTGAGGTAGATAACTGTGCTTACAAGACACGGATTGAACTACATCGGTTTCAATGCCTTTTTCTTCTTCAAAAGCCGTACATTTAAAGCAAGAGGAGAAAAACCATGTTCGAAAATCAATGGACAAAATTTTATTTAATATATAGCTTGTATACTTTTGTATCTTCGAGATGATTAGATAGTTCATTTGTTAATATCGATTTGATCCTTTGTAAAGAATAGTTTCTAGATGTTGTAGTGGAATATAATAAAACAATGTAGCCAATAGTGTGATGCGTTATTTGCTAACGAACCCTTTATGACTAAAATTTCTGAAGACGTTTTCTACCTAATTTGCCACAATAACTGTAGGCAGTTTGTGATAGCTTTCCTTATAATTAGGATATATCAATTGATACAATCATATCACAGGCTTGCTTCATCGTGAAAAGCGTTTGACATATTCAACTGTGTAAATAAAGTGAACCCAGGTGGTAAATAACTCGCCACAATAATGAGCGTCATAAATATTTTCTAAACATGATAAAATGGTTAACTCTGAAATGTACTACTGATTAAAGACATTTGGTCAAATATTGTTGTTGTATTCCGTCATTAACTCATGTAAAAGTGGAATAACAAACTTCATTGTTTTATTAAACTGATATACTCTAACTGAGTTTTCAGAAGTGAATAATTGTGCTTCAAACACAGATCTAATCCACGTCTTTTAATTTACTTGGGAGCAGTCAAACAGTCACATACTATTTATCAAATGTGTCTATGCTGACTACCTCAGTCCTAATATTTAAAAATTTGATTGACTATGAGTCCTTAATAAAACATCGAGATATTACCAGAAACAAAATGATCTTCAGTAATATCAAAAAGACATTGGTTTTCATCCATATGAGTTGAAAATTGTCTAGAACAGGGCATTACAAAGAAAAATATTTATAGTTATTTTGCGTTTTAAATCCAACAATAGTATTACAAATTCTTGCAGATAATTTGGTTATATCAGTATGTGGTTGTGGAGATTGTTAAGTTTTTGATTAAGACAACAAATAGATTGATGTTAGACTACCATCGAAATCCTGGAAGCACTATACGGTCGTTCCATCCTATTGTGAGACTCCTCAGAAGTACGCATCTACGACCCCGCTCGCGGCGTTCAAACTCAAGGCCTTCGGTCTCACGCGCGAACACTTAACCTCTAAACCATTGACCCAGCACCCAACGGTGTTAATGTATAACTTCAACTAATCCACGGAAGGGCACCACCATTCATCATTGTCTTCAGTGAGTTACTACCTCACAACACACCCAGTTGAACTCCACTGATCACGGCTTGTCACTAGAACTCCAGAAAATGTTTCTTGAAGCTAGTCACTAGTGAATTCATAAGTCAATTAAACTTGAACCACCATGGAAAACCTGGAATCACTGGACAACACATTACTGAGGAGTCTCATACTAAGACGAAATGGCTATATTGAAATTTAATAAACTTATATTGATGTACAGGTTTAATTGATTAAAATTGTTTATTTTTTCATTCTATTTATATTGTTTTTTTCAAATTTTATTCGTCAGTACAAAAGAAATTTTATTGGTTTGATTGTTAAAGTATTTTTTGATAGAATAACAAATAAATGTTTACAATTCAATAGTATAAGAAACACAATTATCCCCCTTTGGTTGGTAACTATTTAACCTTGTAAAGATTATTTCTAAAATAAATCTTGATTCAATAATTATGTGTGATACAGAATGAACTTATATGTATCCATCAAATTGTGTAAGAAACGATCGTATTTCAATGGAACTAACAATCACAAATGGTTAATACATGTAAGGATAGTAGGACAGCATACAATACGTGATTCAATCAATCAACAGATTATATATATATATATATATATATATATATATATATATATATATATATATATATATATATATATATATATATATATATATATATATATATATATATATGAAAGTAAAATCTGATATAATTCTATTTGAAAAGTCTATCAATGGAGTTTGCTATATTAGTTCTGATTACATCTCTATACTCACTTGGTAAGTGGAAGTGAGAATTTATAAGGTTATACTTGTAACAAACGATAATGATATTTTGATGATGATGATGATGATAACTGCTTTTCGATTCGCCATCAAATTGCCTTATCTGAATTAACTAGGAAACGGTCAGAAAAGTTGTCTATACAGTTTACTCAAAATGATCATTAGTTACTTCTTTGGAAGCTTCTAGGTTACAGATCAATCTGTATGACAATAATGTTTTTATTAGGTAGTCAATTATATTCGAAAGTCGAAAAAAGTTTAATATTAGTACGGCTTTGGGGTAGATTATTATCTGAATTTAAAAAAAGAGTTATGTACGTAGAAAAATATGGGATGATGATAAGTAAGAAATTTGAAATGTGTAATCTTATTCTTGGGAAGCATCATCTATAAACAAGAAGTAACAGATGTAGATGTAAAGGAGAGGATCATCAAATCAAGGTCACCATTCCTATACTTGAAGAACACATGAAACTTAAAACAACTATCAACCAAATATCAAAGTCACAATGTTCAATACGAACGTCAAGACAGTTCTACTGTACGGAGCTTAAATTTGAAGAACTACCACAACCATCATTAAGAAGGTACAAGTATTTATTAATAGTTGTCTTCCCATGATACTCAACATACATTGGCCGGATACCATCAACAACAGCCTACTGTGGGAGAGAACAAACCAGATTCCAACTGAGGAGGAAATTGGTAAAACACGATGGAGATGAATATGACATACTTTACGGAAATCATCAAACTACATCACGAGGCAAGTCCTAACTTGGAATCCTGAAGGGAAGAGGAAAAGAGGAATGCCCAAGAACAAACCACATCGGGAAATAGAAGCAGATATGAAAAGGATGAATAACAGCTGGAAAGGATTGCCCAGGACAGAGTTGGATGGAGAGTTCTATTGGGTGGCCTATGCTCCTTCACGAGGAGTAACAGGCGTAAGTTAGTAAGTAATCTTATTCTGAAAATAGAATTTAAAACGCTGCGTAAATATTTCTACAATTCCAAGTTATTATTCTGCATAAACTATATTACTCTTTGAATTTCCACTAGTCATACAGTAGTTAAATGAAATGATCACTCTGAAACAGCTATTATTATTATTATTATTATTATTATTGTTAGCTTTATTCAATATTATACTTTTGATATAATATGGAATTCTTATCAGAAAGTGTTCCAACAAATTACTGTTTCTTACTTCTTTATCGATCCTGATGACAAATATTGAGTGATTACCAGTTAGAAGTTAACAGTCCAGTTAATCAACATCTAAATAATGTACATTCTTTTTGTTATATATTGTCAGCAACAACGATATCTATGATTAGGTTCTTTTGTAACTTGTACTACGAAAGGTTTTACATTGTTCAGACGCGCACCTGAATCGATTATGCGATTGATAGCCATAATGATGTATTAAAACAAACAAAATTAGATAACCTATTGAAATATCTCGATGTCAAGAACGGGTAGCCTATATGTTCAAACAGACCGCCGGGTATACAAATAAATAAAATTTGAAATAATGGATTACTAATTATCGTTTTGAATTTCTAGTGAAATACAGTTTACTGACTGTGAATTTTAGCATTTTATGATTATATTTTTAGTGATAATTCAGTGAAATAAAACATTCACTCTATATCTAATTTTCATTGGAATTCAAGCTTAAGATGAATAATTTTAATATACTTTATAGATACTACTTTATTTAAATAAGTAGTATACCTGGAGTCGGATAAAATATTTTGTAAAAGTCAATTTTTATTGAGTTAATCTTAAACTCTCTGGTTATCAAATAATTTAATTTACTATTGAAACAATGTCTGTTTTATTTTTTAGTTGCTGCAGAATCACCAAATTGTAAGCTAATAATAATAATGATAATAAAAATAATAAGTAAATATTTAGTTTACCATTACAATTTAGAAAACCAAGTTAAAACCAATAAGATCATTAGTCAATTAAAGGTAGATCACCATGGAAAACCTGGAAGCACCGGACGGCCGCTTTGTCCCACTGTGGGACTCCTCAGCAGTGTGAGTCCACGATCCCGCCTCGCGAGGTCCGAAACCAGGAAATATAGTACTCGCGCGCGAAAGTTTAACCATTAGACCCCTGGGTCGACCGGCATCCAGCGGTGTTAATGTCTAACTTTAACTAATCCACGAAATTGAGCGAAACATTCACCATTGCCTTCAGTGAATTACTATTTCACAACAGATGCGGTTGAACTCCACTGGTCGCTGCTTCTCACTAGAAATCTTGAAGCCAGTCACTGATGTGCATATGTTGCTTAATATCAGAAGGGGTTTTATGGATATTATTAAACTAATATTATAAAACTAATATCTGAATTCAAGAATCAATCTAGGCTAGACCACCATTGAAAACAAGAAAGCACTGGATGGCCGTTTTGTCCTAGTAACGAACACCTGTACAGTGCTCATTCATGATCTCTCATAGGAGATTCAAACCTAGGACCTTCAGTTACTCTTTCGAACTTAATGTCTAACTTCAATCGATCCATGTTCTTGCGCAATTCTTTATTCATTCTTTGATAAGTGTCTCACACTCGAGATGGATAAGACTCCACTAGTCCCAGCTTGTCACTAGAATCCTTAATAATAAAGTTTATTATTCCATCATAAATCATAAGAAATAGTTTTTAACATGTAATCAATGTATAAACTTATATAATCAAAATGATTGAAAACTTGTTATGTTATTAAACATTTCTGTTATAGATACCAATTGTAAGTATTCACTTTCTAATAGGTTCATTTACATAGCAATACCCTATATAAAAATTATATAACTATTCTTGTATATTCATTTTAGGCCTTGAAAAATGCCTATCTGACAGTAAGTTAAATAAACATTAGAGTTTATTAGATGTTAAGTTTATATTTAGGAAAAGAATATATTTCCTGTTGAATATAATAAAGTACTTCTATAACGACATATTTATTAATTGATTTTATGAATCAATTAAAGCTAGATCACCATGGAAAACCTGAAAGCATTGGACAGCCGTTTTGTTCTAGTATGATACTCCTCAGCTGTACATCATCCCGCTCGCTGGATTTGAACTCATACTAGGATGAAATGGTCGTCCAGTGCTTTTAACTTTTCTATAATGATCTAACCTTAGTTAATTCATGAATTCAACTATTAAATTACTAAAATCTTCACAAAACCCCCTTCTGATAACGATATATTTCATTGCAAAGGATCTACTGTGAAGAACATGAATGACGAATTCGGACTGAAGTTGTTATCTCCATGTATATATGACTACTTTCAGTATGCAAGCAGTTAAAATGTATAAGGAATACTAAGAATAGACGTATTATTACTGAACCGATTTCATGAGGCTATGTCAATCATATGACTCTTATATTGTCTACATGGATTTAATATAGAAGATTCTGTTATGTATATTATGATTCTATACGCTTATTTAATGTGGTTTACAAATAATACATGTCTGTGTGCAACTTATTTGAGATCAATCTTGAAAAGTACGTATATATATATAACTACGTGATAACTTTAGGTTCCAAGAATATATGACAGGTTTAAGGTCAACAAGAATCAATCAATATCAAGGTATACAACACAAGCTGTGAACCACATGTGGAGAAATTTGAACACTTTACTTCTACCTAAAGTTTGTGCTGATGATTTCGCTCAGTAGAACGATGAAAGCTTCACGATCAAACCATCCAGCTCAGAGAAGAAAACTCTATCAAAATCACCCACCTGAGCTACAAATATTCTCCACCATATTTGAAAATTGTCCAACGGCCACACCCAGAGCCGTCGGCTTCAAAGTCTGATCCGCAAAGCAGTGGAGCAAAGTTAGGAGATCCAGTCACATGGTAGCCGGTGATCAACAATTGGTTCATGCACCATTTGTTCCCTCAGGATATTGGTGCCCACGTGCACCTTTGGTTTAGAATCAGGATTTCCCATCTCCACAAGGTGGACTCTCCGTGTCCACCAACCCGGTTAAGGCGCCGGACATTTGCTTTTCGTCCTCTCAATTTCGTAAACAACACCGCTACCACGAGAAGGTAGTGAGTAGGACTTCCCTGACAGTGGCTGTTTACGTGTGACCATGTGAGAGCATTTGGAGATGGAGAGCTGACTCTCCCCATCCTCGAGCGTACTAGGGCATTTAGGGAAAATATACTCTATATTCATAGAGTAAATTATATAATTTAGGTAAAATCATTAATAAAACTTTCTTCATAAATGATTTTTACCCTAGGGAAATATCTGAGGCCATATTGTGAGTAATGTGTAATTTCAGAACATAGTATTCAATTTCATTTCATAATTTATGTATGATACACTTTTACCTACACTTATTATTATCATTATTATTTATTATTTGAACACATAAGTATTGGTACAAGGGGGCACCAAATATATGTGCACCACACAAAGCAATGAGAATGGGAAGAGAAAAAGAAAGTAAGGTGCGTATAGGAAAAAAAGAACAATAACGACCACAAATTAGTGTAAGGTAGTGCAATAATAATAATAATAATACTAATAATAATAATAATGGAGAAAACAGAAACGTACAATCAGAAGAAATCTTTCAGTTAAGGAAGATACAACCACTTCTTATGAAGAAAGTAAAATAAGATTACAGCGAAATCGCCATCGGCTTCTATTCTGTGCCATATCTGATAACGTTTCTAGCCACTGTGTCACACCATCTCTCGGACCCCAGCCAGGGAGTAGTGAAAGACCAACAGAAGCCAGCTCTTTGCAGCTTTCTTTCATACCATGACACCATGTCATACACTGACCACCTCTCCGCTTTTCCAACCAGTCCCAGTGTCTGCAAATAATGCACGATGTTGAATTCTCTTGGACCATATTTGTAGAACATGTCCAAGCCACCGAAGTCGATATTTCAAGATGGTGACACCAATTGGATTATCGTCTCTGTGCTGAAACACACGATGACGAACCTCTGCATTTGCTTATTTGCCTACTATTATTTGTTCAAGGGTTTTTATTATTACCTTCGTTATACAGATTAAAAGTCATTGATTGCACTGATGGATTAAAACGATTGTTTCATCTGAAGTTAAATATGTTCATTGCAAGTGTGTAAACCATCAGAACTAATTAGCGATAGCATTCAATCAGATGACATATAGAAACAATATGGTATCTTTAAATCGTTATCTTAATTGTGGATCGTGTTTTGAAAGACAACATGGCAAAATCATTATCTAATACCTGGAATAAAATACTTTGACATTCCCACTATAGCTTTGGTGGAAAAAAATGTCTGTCCACATCACTTTACCATTCAGAGGTAATTCAAATAGCCTTTTATTGAAACAAATGCTTAAATCAGTCATATTGTTCAGCAAAGGTCATTATCAAGGAAACAACAAGGTTCATACTTAATCGAAAACTTAAAAGACAAAAAAACCATTGCGTCACATCCCACTATGTTTATCAGTTTAAATATGTGTGGTCATACATATATAGGGAGGAGTAATCGTGATCTCAAAATTAGGGTGTGTGTGAACACGTACCTAAATGGTTACAGAAACAAATACAATCAAATGATCCAATAAAAGTAGAGGATAAATATCCATTCAAGTTACAAAAGAGACCAATCAGAGATATCGTGGTTGTTGGCAATATTTATCGAAAATAATTCACATTATCCACATGTCTATTCCTGAGCGGCTAACATCGAACTGGTGATCACTCAATATTTATCGGAAAGGTCGATCAAGAAATAAAGGAAACTTGTTGACATACTTTGTGTTGATAATTCTATATTATACCAAAAATATAATATTGAATAAAGCTAATAAATAATAATGCAATTAAAACTCAGTTCTATACCTATCTTCAATAGTATCTGCAAGCTTATTGATTTTATTCACCGTTTAGGTAATACTGCATGTTCAAAAAGTATGTCTTGATTAATAACTTATTTCAATATTACAGAGTAAAGTACTTCAAATTAATTATCGTTTACTGAAAAAAACTATTTTCTTAATTTTTTGATTGAGATCATGAACTGATTAGTGTTAGATCACCATCGAAAGCCTGGAAGCACTGGATAGCCATTTCGTTTTGTTATGGGACTCCTCCTCAGTGAGCATCCACAACCCCACTAGCGGGATTCGAACCAAGGGTCGTTAGTCTCGCTCTTGAACGACTTACCTCTAGATCACTGGGCTGGTCAGCACCCAACGGTGTTAATGTCTAACCTCAATCAATCCACGAAAGTTATATTCATTTGAAGTACTTTTAGAAAACAGTTAAAAAAGAAGCGATTCATAAAATATTACAGTTAAAACTAACTTGTTCATTTTTGTATTGTTTGTTTGAATCTTCACATTAATATTTAGGACTGTAATTGATCAATTTGTTAAAGACATTTGAACATTCTGTACAGATGATTTCAATATTGTCTTAAATCTTAAGCATTATAAGCGGAGATAGATAGTGTCTCTCAGTGGGAATCAAAGACGAGCGTCTCATTCTATTTCGGACCCATCATATAGATGTACCTTCATTACACAGTTGATTTTCACTTCAAGACTCTAACTCATTAACGTTCGCTTCAAACACAATTACGTTATTCACTTAGCCACTGAGTTTTGGAATGAAAATCAACTCTGGAATGCAGATACATCCAGATGATGAGTCCTACTATATAAGAGGAAATGAGCGTCATTGATTTCCACTGCTAATCCTCATCCATCTTTAATTATTAAACTAACTCATGTTTATGAAAGCTTAAGCAAATGATTTGCAGAATTTTGCTGGTTACATTAAATAAATTGAAAAAAATGTTTCTATGAAATATGTTTCTCATTGATAAATCATATCCTGATTGATTGTGAGATAATAAGTCACTGAAGACAATGATGGATCTGTTGCTCGATTTCGTGGATTATTTGAAGTTATTTATTAACACTATTGGATGTCAGTCGGCTCAGTGGTCTAAAGGTTAAGCTTTCGTACGCGAGACTGATAGGTCCTGGGTTCGAATCTCGTGAGGTGAGATCGTGAGCATACACTGTTGAGGAGTCCCACAGTGGAACAAAATGGCCGTCCAGTACTTCCAAGTCTTTCATAATGTTCTAACTTCAATTGACTCATGATTTCAACTATTAAAATTACTATAATATTCACAAAACCCTATTCTGATATTAAATATAAGTATTCAATATGAAAATACACACTTCTTATTAGTGAAATATAAACAAGTTTCTTGTTAACCAACAACCATTATTAAACTATTGAAAATGTTTTGAGGATAGATGCTTCAATAAATGATAATGAATTGATGAACAATACACAAAAATATTCATCTTTATAGACTAATAAAGATTTATGATTTATAAACAGAACAATTCTATTCACTTTGATGTATAGATGCTGATCCACAATATTTTTATTGTAAGTACATTTTCATATTGAACTTTGTTAAATGATTTCCTTGAAACAATTGGCTTCAAATCTATTGAAAGATCTAATGAATCAATTATAATTCGGATAATTAGTAGTGTAAAGACTTGTTGAATGAATTGATGGATATCTTTTATAACATTCAGGATGTTTTCATCAGTTAATCAGCAACAGGTTAAACATGATCTTATTCATATAATTATATAACTGAAAGTGATCATAAAACACTCATACTTCTCTAGCTGAAATATGTAATTGAATGTTTGTCATGTATTTTAATGAAATTATTTGGATTACCATTTATGAGAAACAAAGAATTGAAATCACTAATAATAGTATTCACTTACTTACTTACTTATTTACTTATGCCTGTTACTTCCAGTGGTGCGTAGACCGCTGACCAGCATTCTCCAACTCACTTTATTGAGGGCCTTCCTTTCCAGTTCTATCCAGTTGTTGTTCATTTTTCTCATATCTGTCTCCGTTTTTCGACGTAATGTGTTCTTTGGTCTTCCTCTTTTCCTTTTGCCTTGAGGATCCCATGTGAGGACTTGTCTTGTGACACAGTTGGGTGCATTCCTCAATGTGTGTCCTATCCACTTCCAACGCTTCCTGATTTCTTCCTCCTCTTGGATCTGGTTTGTCCTTTGCCACAGTAGGTTGTTGTTGATAGTGTCTGGATAACGGATCTGAAGTATTGTGCATGGACAACTGTTAATAAACACCTGTATCTTCTGGATGATGGCTTTCGTAGTTCTCCAAGTTTTCACCCTATACAGTAGAACTATTTTCACATTTGTATTGAAAATTCTGACTTTGGTATCGGTTGAATTGTGTTATTTTGAATTGTAGATGTTCTTCAGTTGTAGATATGCTGCTCTTGCTTTTCTGATCCGCGCCTTCACATCTGCATCAGATCCACCGTGTTCATCAATGATGCTGTCCTGATGTGTAAAGGATTTTACATCCTCCAAAGCTTCTCCGTCAAGTGTGATTCGATTAGTTCATGTAGTTATATCTTGCTTTTTCCTTTCTGTATGTTGAGACCTATTGCTGCTGAGGTTACTGCTACACTGGTTGTCTTCTCCTGCATTTATTATTGCGTGTGTGATAGAAGAGCCAGATCATCTGCGAAGTCTAGATCGTCCAGTTGCATCCTAGCTGTCCACTATATCCCTTGCTTCTTCCCAGATGTTGACGTCTTCATGATCCAGTCGATCACCAGGAGTTGATTTATTTCACATATCTTAACCAGGAAAATTGCTGAATACATACGAAATATAATGACGAAATATACAATGTTATTACTGATTTTGTTTGCTGAAAACGTAAGCAGAATGACTTCAAATATATTTTGATAAAAACTATGCACTGAAGTCACATTAGATAAGTAAATGTTTTTAGATTTGTAGAGAGTATTACCTTATCATATAAGCATTTAATAGAAAATCTCTTCTGTTAGGACAAACATAGAATAAATATCCAAATGTAGTGCGTCAATAATTTGTAAAGACCACAGTAAAAAATGGCTCCCGAATGCCCTGGTACGGCCGAGAGTGGGGAGAGTCAGCTCTCTCTCTCACTCTCTTTCTCTCTCTGGAAATGCCCTCACATGGCCACGTGCATGCAACCATTACTAGGGAAGTCCCAATCACTGAGTTTTCGTGGTGGTAGTATTGTTTAAGAAATTGAGAGGACGGAAAGTGAATGTCCAGTGATTTAACCGGATTGATGGATATGGAGGATTCATCTAAGGAAGTTGGAAAACCCTCATTCCAGACTAATGGTTCACATGGGCTACAGGATCCTGAAGAAAACAAATAGCGTTTGAACCTATTGTTGGTCATTGGCTACCATAAGACTACATCTCCTGACGTTGCTCCACTGCCTTATGGATCAGACCTTTAGGTCAAAGGCTCCGGAGTGTGGCTTCTTAAGAAAACCATCTGCTTCGGTTCGGGCATCCGAGCAGTATTCCAGTCCTCGCACAAATCGAATGATCTATGTTCACATATCTGTTTGGTACCTCCTTGTAGCAATGTCTATGTATTTAAAATAAATTAAACAGAAAACGATTTAAAAGTCATAGTTCTACTTCCTAGAATAAGCATGATTTTCACTTTAATGTTTTAGGCAATTTAGCTTGTGAACGACATAGTACGTCATATTATCCTCCTGTCATAATATTTAAACATAAATAATAAAAAAAGAACAGTTATTATGTAATGATTAAAACGTTATGTAGTACGATCAGTTTTATACATAAACCTTTTATGAATTTGAATTTCATCTAAAAGGATGTATTTTCGGTATATTCTTGTGTTTCAATATTCATATCTTTATGGTTATTGTTAGAACTTTTGCCCTGTGACCCTATCAATGAATAACGTAATGATACCGCCAATTAGAGAACAGTGGATTATCGATCGGACCAATGACGCATAAAACTAGTACTAGCAGTCTGGAGTCCTTATCGATCCTTTTTCCCGCCTAACCTTGTCTGTTAAGTCCAGAACATCAATCTCAGCCACTACGATATGAATCATTTATTTCAAACATACGATGTTTATATACCAATCAAACAGATCACATCGTACCATAAAATGGAAAATAACATTTGTAAAAGATTTGGCCAAAAGTGGCTGTGAATGTGGGAGATAGTAATCGATAGAGTGGGCATGATTTAAGAATGGTAATTCGTATAATAATAGTTCATAGGTCAAAATGAATCTCATAATAAGAGGGACATGAATATGAATAGTTTAGTTATGTGACAATTATACGTTAAGAATATACGTATATTATTGGTCGATAAATGAATCCCAAAAGTTACCATTCATTATTCTCATCTAGATAATAACATCCATAGTTCAGTTTTTAAGTGAACTACTTATAGATTCGTCAGATGAGTTTATTTGGCTATAGTGTTTTCTTAAATGCTCATTCACATCAATATTTATATAGACATATCTTTACCTAGAGAGCTATTATCTGAATTCCATGAATTACTTCTTTCTTTTGAATACCTACTGATGAAAATGAACTCAAAACATTTATATTTCTTAAATCATAATGTATCATTGTAAGATTCATTGGCGAATAAACTTAAGTTATTTCAAATTTCATCAGGTTCAAGCTAAAAAGTTCTCGTCATCTAACATTATTGAGCCAAGTTTCCATGTATTTTAAAGCTTTAGGAATAATCACTTTGAAGCTAGTCACTACCCAAATACAATTACAATACTGTTTTATATCTTTGTTGGTTACTAATGTGTTTATATATCTTCATCAATTTTCCCTTGAATTTACTGTGATATACATATGTATATATACTTGTATGATATTCATAAATCAATCAAGAATGTTTATGATTAAATAGATTATGTAATGATCTCTGATTGTAATTGATTCTCATGTTGACAACAATTTATGTTACTAACTGTATAATAAAAATAAGATATTTTTGAAATTTCTGTTATTATTGTTGTTATGTAATTACAGAAGCCAAGAGTTCCAAAACTGCACGATCAATAATCGATAAAAGTAAGTTACAAAGAAAAAAAAAAGAAACTCGAAACGTCATTACTCAATGTTTTTGTTACTTATTGTTTATTATACTTAATCGCTAGAACATTATTTCGAGTTGGTAGATTCTATAAGACGATAAATTCTATTCAAGTATCTTGATGTTTTCAACATTTATTCAAGATAAATTGAAGTTGATATTAGTGAGGTTTATTGGATCTCACAAATGTCAAATAAAATTACTTTAAACTTGAATTCACTAGATGTTGTTTACTTGTATCTTCTCATTGTTATTTAGGATTGTATCTCAGAGTCGACGTTCACTCTGGGATTCGAACTCAATATACCGTTCACTACAAACGCCATTGAGTTATCCACTTAGCTACTGAATCCTTTAAAACTTTGGTTAGTTCAAGTTTATTTGGTTTAAGTAAGAATGTATCAATCATCAAAGAGGGGATATAATATCGACAATTATTCATTTAACTGCCTACTAAATTTGTTCGTGAAACTTACTGATATCAGAATCATCTGGATGTGTGTTTATTACGTAAATTTTGGTCAATTCCGGATTTAAACGATAACTGTTATATTGATTCTTATTTTTCAATCTATAATGATAACTGTGCTTTATATGCAATGATCTAGAAACAATTTTGAACTTTATATTGTAGTTGTAACATCCATTGAATACGAATTCTGTAAGTTTTTATACTTAAAGCTGAAATTATCTAAAGGTTAACTTTTGTTTTAACAAACTGGAATTTTAAGTTATTTCAATAGTTGAGATCATGAGTCATTTAAAGCTAGACTACCATGGAAATCCTGGAAGTTTCAGTGGACGGCCGTTTCGTTCTATTGTGCGGCCACTTTTTAATAAAGGATCCCAAATACCATTAAACGCAAGGCGGCTTATGTATTTTATTTAATCAATTTTTTTTTCATCCCTTTTGAAAACGTTTTTTATTTCTTTTCGTCCAATGAAATGGCTAATTTCAAATTCATTATAATTGGTCAGTTATTTCTTAAAATTGATATAAAATGTCAGTCCTTGTCAACAGAGCATCTTTTCTTCATATTATGAACGATAATAACGTACAAAGTACAAGCTCTATCATTTCTCGCATTGTCACAGAAACAAATAAATTATTCTTGAATACATTATATCTCATAGCGTTCCAATCAGCTGAAGCGTTAAAGAGCGCCAACAGAAGTTATGAAAGAGCTACGTACTGCGGTGAGACTATAATTTATGGACGAGCCAATCAGAAGCGTCTTAGAGATTTCAAGGTCATGGCGCCAACGTCCGATCGGTTCACAGGGAATTTTGTACAAAACGTGATAATTGAGAGGCTATAAGAAATAAAACGGGCAGACTACAGTTTGTGGACGGGCCAATCAGGTACACGATAACAAACCTCTGATTTTGGCGGGAAAGCCTTTTATCCATTTGGCTAAACAGATTTGTGGAATTATAGCTGATGTCAGTTTGTGATGGAAACCCCATATATAATTCTTAACCAAGGCAAATTATGACAATTATCGCGAACTGGATAATAAAAACACCAGTAACACTGGCTGCAGTCAGGTACTACAATATATACGGATGTTTGGAGAGTGCATAGACTCCTACATAGACTTGTTTATGTGCATCGTGTCGTTATCCATAAGTGGTATTTTGTATATTCAACAACCGGAGTGCACGCAAACAATATTGAAGTTATGTGGTCGAGGCTGAAAGAGTTTTTGCGACCTTATCATGGCTTTAGAGGCCGACTATTCTGTAACCATATGGAATGAGTTACTCTACTACATGCATTACGATTTTAGAGCCTCTAAACTTGAAAAGTTTTTGAACCATGTAAAAGAAATGTATCCACTTTATTTCCTTGGTTTTGTATAATATAATTTTACTCTGTATTTACTGTTTGCTGATTGGCTAATATTTCTCAAGGTCACTTGAGATTCGTTCAAAGGTCGTCCATAAATTATAGTCTCGCCGAACTGATGAAATATGAAATTAAATTCATTTTGTTGGAAAAAAATTATTTAAAAAAATATACTTGGTTTTTTCAAGATGTCAGTTTCTACCTAGCAACTAGACTTTTGACAGATATGTTTGATTCATTTCTATGTACAAGAAACATTTATAGATTAACAATTTTTCTGAAAGATTAATCATATTAATTTATAAATAGATAATTCAGTCTTTTATAAATGATACTAAATGTTCTCTATTTAATATTTTATGTGAATACTCATTAAACAACTGAGATTCTATGAGTTGCATCTTTTTAAAAACAAAATTCATTTACAGGTACTACTGACTGTAATGGTAAGTGATTATAAAGTTACAACGATATTATACAACGTTATAATCATTATATGTTGAAAAATACAATCGAGAATTCAGGTTCTAATATTATTAACGGAATGAACATTATACTACGTGGTTAATTTTTCTTCTCATTTAGACCCACACTATAATAGACAAAGATGTGAGCTTATACAATTATATGTTTTGTAGTATATGTATGTTTGTAATTTACACTTGTCTTGAAACATGTTCATTAGTGTATAAATTTGATCAATGAATACTATTTACAAATATAAGCAAAGATGGATGGTGGCTAATAGGAGAGTTCTGGACGATCATTTCTTTCTATTTTGGACACGTCAGCTGGATTTATCTGCATCTTAGGGTTGATGTTTTACTCCAGGATCCGAACATAATACTGTTTGCTTCAAACGCTCTCGAGCTTCCAATTTTAGGGAAAATTTGACCCGTTTTGGGGAAGTCGCTATAGTAAACTTTGAGGAAATTCCCCAAAATTTACCCAGGGTTCCCGATAATTTCCCCAAACTTGAGAGATTGGGCTATCACAACAATTCACATAGGATGTATATATGTCAATAACAGACTGATCAACTGCGTTCCTAAACATCAGTGAGAAGATTCAAAGAAACAACACAAAACTGTATCAATATATACAAATATGTCACATTCTAATGAGAACTTATACGTGAGAGAGATAATCTAGTGATTATTTAAAATTTTCGCATCTTAATGAAGGTCAGTCCCAATCTCTCAAGCTTGGGGAAATTTTGGGGAATTCTGGGTAAATTTTGGGGAAATCCCCAAAGTCAAATGAACTTGACCAGGGTTAAAGGGGAATTTCGGGGAAATATTGGGGAAGTGGCACTAAAACCCCAAAATTTCACCAAAGTTTACAATAGCGGCTTTCCCAAAATTTTCCCAAAATGGGTCAAATTTTCCCGAAAATTGGGAGCTCGGGGTTTAAGTTGAAAGATTCGGTGAAGGGATAGGTTCAATGTAATAAATATAGTATTTCTTAATTAATAACTGGCTAAATAAAAGTGATCGAAAATAACCACTATAAAACTGCTTGAACTATATGTTGTAGAAGTATATAATATATGGATTCTTTATTGCTGATAACACACTTTATGATGCAAATAAGCAAACCTTAAAAAACCATGTTACATCTCCATTGTCTAGTATCGATCTTTCCGCACGGACATTCAATTGAGCTGGTTACTTACTTACTTACTTACGCCTAATACTCACAATGGAGCATAGGCCGCCGACCAGCATTCTTCAGTCCACTCTATCCTGAGCCTTCCTTTCTAGTTCTATCCAATTGTTGTTCATTCTTCTCGTATCTGTCTCTATTTCTCGGCGTAATGTGTTCTTTGGTCTTCCTCTTCTCTATTGGCCTTCAGGATTCCATGTGAGGGCCTGCCTTGTTACGCAGTTAAGTGCTTTCCTCAATGTGTGTCCAATTGAGTTGGTAATATCTTGAAACTATGTTTTTATACTGGTATTACTTTCTTGTTTCTGTCTGATCGATTTTCAGTTTATTTCAGACTGGTTCTTTTTTACGAGTGTCAATGAATTTCGATACGCTTGAATATGTGTCAGTAAATCCGTATAACACTCCATCAATTGACTGTACTTTACGATCAAATATTTAAATTAGGAAATATACAATTCACCTTATTATTAACCGGAACATCTCAAAGGATATTTTTTTTTGTTATTTTCTATAAAATTACTTTTACATGCTGGCTTCTGTGGTCGTTGTATCAATAACTAGTCAACTCAATTTATATACACCACTCGAAATAGTTCTAGTTAAATGCTTTCCAATCTATGATGCTTTGGTGGAATATGCTTAAAGCTATCATGCGAAAAGAAGGAAGATTTACGGCGAAGCTAAAATTTATGGACGAACCAATCAGATTTAGGATAACAGGTGTTGAATTTTGGCGCAAAATTTACTCACCAATTTGGCCAAATAGCGTCTTGACATTTTACCTAACGTCAGTTCGTAACGAAAAACTGTAAACCTAATTCCAAACCCTGGCCATTAACTGTGAATCATAATCCTTATTCTTCAAATTGCTTTACAACCCTCCTTTAGTCTTATTAAGTAGGTAGACACTCTCAAGGTCACTTTGGCGTCACTCACATGTCGTCCATAAATTATAGTCTCACTAAAAATTAATTAAACAGCGATAAATTAATGTATTCTATCTGACCATCCATTTATTACAATTAAAGGTGAAAATGATTGTGGCAGTGTTTGTAAGTCAATCAAGTTTTTATGAAACTATGGTATTAACTTATTTTCAAAGTTGAATTCATGAGCAAATTTAAGCTAGATCACCATCAAAAACGTGGAAGCACTGGGAGGCCGTTTCATCGTAATAAGGAACTCCTGAGTGATGCGCATTGACGATTCCTCACCAAAGAAACTTGAACCTAGGACCATCGGTCTCGTGCGCGATTGCTCAAACTCTAGAACATCAAGACAATATCCAATAGTGTTAATGTCTAACTTCAATCAATCCATGGTCTTGCTCAACGCTCTATCTGTTCTCTGATAACTGTCTCACACTCGAAACGGATCGGACTCCACTGATCACGGCTTTTCAATAGAGCTCTTGACAATCCATATTGGAGCTAGTCACCACTGACCACATGATTATTGTTGTTATGAGGTTTTGCAGAGGTTAATCGTTTGCACGCGAGATCGAAGGCCCTATCGGCCGTCCAATGCTTCCAGGTTTACTATTGTGGTTTAACTTAGATTGACATATGAATTATTTCATTTATCCTAGCCGCTTCGTGATTAAGAAATGCTCACAATATCAAAATCCATTTATTAACAAATGAAAACTACATTCAGATACAACTATCTAACCATTTCGTAGTTTTTGTTGTTATACGACTGCAGCCGATTTCGTTGAAAAGAATGACATTTCTTTGCTGATAGAACCAAATTGAAACGAATTGTCTTTGAATGAAATTACCCTACAATTTTCAATTATGAACCGGGACGAGAATAAAACGAGGACCTCTCTTGTTTAATTTCGTAAGCGTAAAATTGATGATAAACTCAAGTACTTAAATTACTCGTATTTACAACTCTACATATTTCATGATGAAGGGTACTTTGTCATACCCTATGTTCACATACCCTATGTTCTCAAGCTACATGTTGAGCTTGTTAATTATTCACTTATCATTCTTAACTGTTTTTATATGAACGTATGTATGTGTACATATTATTCTACTCATCACCTATCTGTAGCTTATTTTTATGTGACTATAAATATTGATTACCACTTGACTAAATCGAGTTGGCTTACGTACCTTCTCCACTGCGCATCATTTTGTTTCGCTTCGTTTCTTTGATTATCTAATTGTACAAAATATACTCATTCAAACATCCATTCTCGTATTTGACTTATTTCCGGAATTAAGTCGATAATTATATACGACGATAGATGATATATATGTACTTCAATGAACAATCAAATATATGATATAATGGGATTTAGATGCCACGTCACTAAAGTATAAATTATTAGATATCCATTTACTTATTAGAGATTAGAAACATTTTTTAATGAAAACTTTAAGACTGCACATATACAAAAATATTTATCAATATTATCGATTTGCAGCTGCTTTCATTTCAAAGTGTAAGTTATATAAAGTTCTTTATGTTCTAAAAGTTATGTACATCAATTGTACAAATACTTCATTGTGAATATTAAAAAGTAGATTGAATGAATTAAGAACTGATTGAATGATTACCATCATAATTGGTTACCTGATTAGTTAATATATTATTATTATTATTATTATTATTATTATTAGCTTTGTTCAATATTATATTCTTGGTACAATATCGAAGTATCAGCACAAAGTATCTCAGCAAGTAGCTTACTTATTGGTCGATCCTGACGATAAGTATTAGGTGATCACCAGTTAGATGTTAGCACTTCAAGAATCGACATCTGATTAACGTACATTATTTTCAGTACATATCACCAGTAATCACAATGTCTCTGATTGGACATTTTTGTAACTTGTAGAGCGAAAGATTGTACACTTTTCATAAAGGTGACTGAATAGAATATTTCTTGAAATATCTAGATGGCAGGAACAGGTAACGCAGATACTCAAGTACGCTGCCATTTTCTGAGGTGTGTAGTTAACAAATCGTGAAGAACAAACTATTTTAATAGATTGTCAGTGTATTACAATGTCAATGGAATAAAATCTTTATTATTATGTTTTTGTTATAAGAAATAAAGATATTAGAAATTTTTCAGAAGGTGTTTTGTGGAAATTGTTGTAATTTCAGTAGTTGAGATCATGAGTCGATTGAAGCTAAACCACCATGGAAAACCTGGAAGTACTGGACGGCCATTTCGTTCCAATGTGGGACTCCTCAGCAGTGTGCATCCACGATCCCAACTCACGAGATTCGAACCCAGGACCTATCAGTTTCGCGAGCGTGCGCTTAACCACTAGAGATGTTTAATGAAATGAAGGAACATTTTGAAAAATCATAGATATATGTAAATTAAGGAGAGAGAATGATATTTTTAAATATGGAATAAAGTAGTAAAAACAATAGAAACGTATTAGACGTACATCTTTTGTATGTATAGCTATGTCTTCATTTTATGAATACCAAGAGCTTCTACAGCGTTGAAGTATTTGATACAAAGATATCTAGACAGATTCACTCGAATTGTATAAACAACCATATAATCTATCTGTGGATCAGTATAGTGGTTGGAATGGAATAAATATTCAACAATACAACTTTTATCTGCTTTCTTCTGAACTTTGTTGAACTACATTGTAACGTTGTAGTTCGCAGCAAGCTCTATCTCCGCGTATTATACCTTGCCTCACAAAGAGCAAGTAAACTGGTGGATGCACATAGAAGTAACCAGATAAGGGAGCCTATTGATTGTGGATACAAAAAATAAGCTGCTGCCGGTTGACGTTAGTCTAAGCTTTGCTGCATGGATCGTTTATTTTATCGCTTCTGCTAACCAACTTTTAAAAAAATCAGAAGTTTTGTCACCCCTAAATTCCAGATTTATAAAAAGATACTTCTTCGGCCCGGAATTACCAGACTCTTTGTTCCAACATCAGTTCACGCTCGTCTCTATGAAATGGTTCGTATATCCGTTTTCAGCCGACGTTTCTCTGAAGAAAGCAAGTACTTCAGTACTTCAGTATTACAGATCTTACAACTTCAGTAACATAATGGGTAAATAAGTTTCCCGAGTCTGTTTACCGTAACCTAGAAATTGAAGCTGCTCAGTTCGTCGTTCCATGTTTGTTTTCTGTTTTTTTGACATTTTAAAAAATCTGTCATTTACCCTTGCTAGAAGTACATCGAGAAACGAGATAGACTAACCTACTTCATTTTTTAACTTAAAATCTAAGGAAGAATGGGATATTTTGAAAAAAAAAACAACGAAAAATGTCAACTAGAAACACTCTCCTAAGACTGGACACAATGGAAATCTTATTTAAAGCAATTAGTCCCTTTTATAAATTTCGATAGAACAATGACAAGACGGAGTTGATCTGAAAAATGTGATGTATTTGCGCTATACATTTCGAACAATCTGGTCACACATATTCTTGTCAGGGCATTTTATATGAAAATTAATAAAGGTCAATTACATGAAAGTTAAAGTACAAACAAAATTAACAAAGGGGAGAGAAAAGATAAGAAATTGTCGCATTATCCTAGGCCATAGAATGACTCAAGGATTACCAAGGTAAATTCAAGGTTACGACAAATTGTTTTTGTACACATAAAGGGGGCTTAAATTTACGAATAGCCAAGGCTTCTATAAACTTAAGAATTCGTCCTTGACAATTTCTATACAACGTTTTAAAAGCTGCATTAATATCAATTTTGTGCCCCGTTTCAATTATATGTTTCGCTATCGATGACCCTGGTTTTCTACCACCCACGTTGATCGGATCGTTTGACACACATTGATTTTGAAGCCATTTAGGCACATGTATAACGCAAATACATCACATTTTTCAGATCAACTCCGTCTTCTCATTGTTCTATGGAAATCTTATTATTATGGCATCTGTATGTCTGCATATTTCATTATCAAAACTGAAATGGATATTGTAGGTACAACATAACAATAAGTGAAATGAATCCAGAACTGCTACTATTATTATTATCAACAGTATATATTCTTGCATTAAAACTCTTACTATACATTATCGTATTTATTCATTATTCATATGTACAGATTGTACAAAATGATAATAAATTCGTTGAAAAAAGAACTATTAAATGAACTTTGAATTTTTATCTTTTAAACTAATTGATTTGAAGATGTGATTACAGAACCTCAAAAGAATTTATTCTTCATTCATATGTCTGTGTGTTGGTGTAATCTAACATTGATCAGTTCATGATTTCATTGAATTTCAACAATCTCTACAACGTCATACTGAAAATTATCATGTGATTACTAACGACTAGCTTTGATAAGTAACTCTTGGAATTCTAATAAGAAGTCATGACCAGTGGAGATTAAATTGTGTTGAATAAGAAGTAGTTACCTACCAAAGACAATGGAAATCTGATAATGTGATGAAAAGCTTTTAGTGAATAAAATATTTGAATAAGATTATTGTGATGCTTTCATTTAGGGATTGAAATCAATTGTTCTAGTTGTTAGAGCGCCTTAAAAACATTTGTAGCTTATATTAAAATCATCACATTTGGGTTAAGGAGCAGTTACCATTGATTATATGACCAGTATTCTTTCTGGATTAACCTAATGGTTGTAGGATCAGTCATTATGGTGTGGAATTAGATTCTAGTCCGATACTAGTACACTTATCTTTGTAACTATAATAATAATAGACCTATTCCCAGAATTGTAGATACGTCATGATGTGACCACCTGATCTATATGATCTTACTTGGAAGTCACATCATAGTCTACGCTGACTCGTTCTATCGTTACCATCAGCAATATGATGTTTAACAATTCTGAAGAGAATATTTAAGTTGGGGTAGAAGAATATATTCAATGTGAATGGTAATAAGTTACACATAATGAGCACACCTGCAAGTTCAAGCCATACCACCTCGAATGATTGTTCCCATGTTTACTATTGTTCACCTTCTCTTAATGTTACATGTTGAATGTCAATCTTCTCAATAATTATAAGTTTAGCTTGGAGAATCGTGTGGTTAACAACCGATACCACTACAAAGGTACATATCAACGTATAGCTACCGACATTAACTTCACGTACACTTTTTTTGTTAATCTATGTAATTTAAATATTATTAAATTTATTTGCAGGTTACAGAGTTTGTCGTGGCAGTGAGTTTACTAGCATTTCATGTATATTTGAGTTAAATACCATGAATGTTGATTAGGAAGAAATACGTTTTTATAGAAGCATCCATACTGAGTTTAAAATTATACCGGTTAATATCTTGTTCATTGTAGCAAAAGTTTTCATCAATATTTGGATTATTTCAGATATAATTTGGGTCGCTTCAAAAATAGGTTTTTTCCGATTGACATCATGAATCGATCAATGTTAAACCACCATCGAAAACCTGGAAGCACTGGACGGTTGTTTTGTCTCCATAACCTCATAATGACAGATATCTATCTTAGTAAAATGGAAGATGGTCACGCGATTTCGTGGATTGGTTGAGGTTAGACATTAACACCGTTGGATGCCAGCCCAATAGTCTAGAGGTTATGCGTTAGCGCGCGAGACTGAAGGACCTGGGTTAGAATCCCGTGAGTGGGATCGTGGATGAGCACTGCAGAAGAGTCCCACAATAAGACGAAACGGCCGTCCATTGCTTCCATTTTCTCAAAGGTGTTCATGATCTCAATCAAAAACATGATAAAATATTATTGATTTAAGAAAGAAAGCGTATTTATCATGTCCGTAAAGAAGACTACACTTTTGTTTGCCATACTTGTAGAATTGTTGTCTCCAGCTAATCGAACTTTTTCGTGATGTTGATTAAATTTTCAACTTATTTTCACGGGCTAAATTATATTTAACTGTTAAACGTTTTCAGAACATACCAGCCTAGATGCACTTTGTAAGTCATTTAGAAACTATTATTAATCCATTATCACCTAGAAAATATACTCATCATAATGTCTTATGTTATTTTTCGTGTAACATAGAGTGTAACCTATTCAACGAAAAATTTGCAGTATGACGGTATCGATATATTCATTTAACTATCATTTACTTGCTTACTTACTTACGTCTGTTACCCCTCGTGGAGGAGTATAGGCCACACATCAGCATTCTCCATCCAATTCTGTCTCGAGCAATCCTTTCCACTTGTTTCCAGTTGTTATTTCCCGACGTAGTGTGTTCTTTGATATTCCTCTCTTACACTTCCCTTCACGATTCCAAGTTAGAACTTGCCTCGTGATGCAGTTTGGGAACTTCCGTAATATATATCCTATCCACTTCCAACGTCTTTTCCAAAATTTCTTTTCAACTAGGAGCTGGTTTGTTCTCTCTCACAGTAGGTTGTTGCTGATGGTATCTGGTCAACAGATACTAAGTATCTTACATAAACACCTATTTATAAATACTTGTGCCTTTTTAATGATGGTTGTAGTAGTTCTTAAAGTTTCAGCTCCATACAGTAGAACTGTCTTGACGTTTGTATTGAAGATCTGCATTTTGATGTTTGGTTGACAGTCGCTTTGAGTTTCATATTTTCTTCAATTACAGAAATGCGGCCTTTATTTAACTATCACACATATAATAACCTTGATGAGTCTGGTAATTGAAACAATGAAAAGAATTACATACTATGCTTAGGAATATCACTTTCTAACTAATCATATCCAAACAAAAGAGATGTCTATCGAAAATAGTCACATTAGTTTTTTTGTCGAGTTATCAAGTTAAACACTTAAACAATAGTTAAATTGATTCATATTACTTTCAGGTCTTTATAAATGTGAATGGAAAGGTAAGTGTTACAAGTTTCCCTTGTATAATTAAAATATTTTTGTAAGATTGATATTTCAATGGTTACAACTCTTTGTCTTTGAAACTACTCATAAAATTATTGATTGATTTATTTGAACACGTAAATATTCGTACAAAGGGGTATTGAATATCTATGTGCCACGCAAGTCACTTGATTTGTGTGTGTGTGTGTGTGTGTAGGGAGGGGGTCTGTGATACTGCTCGGGTGCTCAGACCGAAGTAGGTTAATATAAAACTTCAAAACATGTTAATTGGATGAATATGATATTGAAAATTCCAGAAAATATGTTTTATTTATATTTCATTACCCTTATATATATCATAATCGGATGATTAGTTTAAATGAAGATAATAACAACAATCAATCATTTATATATATGAAACTGAATGGAAAATAAGGTATAATTATGAAAAGTTTATTGGTCTGTATCCATGCTAACAATAACGATATACGATATTGAATGTATGATTGATTGGTCGTTGAATGTGAACTGACAAAAAATTATTTAATTAATACATGATTATTTTTCTAGTATTCATTTCTACTGTTGATTCATTGAGTGTAGACTATATGTAATTATGTTGAATAAAGTATTGTCTAATCTATGTTCTGGTTCTTTATATGTAATCGTATATTATGTACTAGTCAGTCAGCTACAACGTAGGACCATGCACATATATGTATCGGTCGAAGTTGCCATGCTGCATTAGCACAGCAAGATGGACACCGAATTCATAGTAGTCACATCAATGGCAGTAATATATAAAAGAAAAATTGCATATAAGGATATAATACAGGAAAAAAGAATTAGTTCGCAGATAGAAAGATATAAAGAGTATATACACCTATGCCATTGTAATCGATACTTGGAAACACTGAACAACCGTTTCATCTTAGTATGGGACTCCTCCGCAATGCACACCCACTATTCCACCTCGCGAGATTCGAACATTCTTTCAGAATGTTTTATTCAAACATTTCTATTCATGAAAATCAAGCATCATACTTTACATTGTTTTATTATTCTGTAAAATCTAGAGAAAAATGGACTTATATCAGGTAAATGAAAAAAAAATCATTTTGATTGAAGTTCTAAATAGTTTTGTTTGTTAAATGGTAAAATAAAGAGTTGAAAGAGAGAGAGAAAGAGAGAGAGAGATGACATTTGTATATATAGTTGCGTTGTCATTGACTTTCCTCTAGAAATCGATATCGTACACATCCTTTATGAATGAGATACAAATATGATTATGCCTAGTTCACTAAAGTATTTCATATAGAAAGGCGCCACTCAACTGAAAAGCATTTATGTCGGTTTAAATGTCAATTATCTAATTGAACTTATAAAAGAAGAATTGAATGAGATCATTTCATAATTTATGTCATACAGTTATACGGTATATTTTCTATCACATTACAACTATTCATGTGAACATAAATACATATGAAACAAACACTATGTCAAATGATCTTTAATAAACATGAAAATAGCAAAAGTAATCAAATGTCTTAGCATTCTATACCTCATTAGAATGATTTGGCTTTTTAAACATTATGTCTTATGATAACATTTGAGTATTTAAAATGTAAATAGTTTAGTACCATTGTTAGTTCTATTATATTTAAACAGTTTTTTTTTATTCATAATGGATGTATTTAAATCCAACTGTTGAGTTGTGAAAATTCCTATTCTACTTTGGATAACATGTGACTAGAAAATAACATTATATATAGTTCGTTGACCATTGTTTAGAAAGATAGGTCAAAGTAACATGGTGGTTAGAGGTAGTCAACAGGAAACCCTGGATCTAGGTTTCGTGCTACTTGGCACTCGTCAGTAAGGTGTGCCTGTAATCTTGAGGGAGATGTTACCACTGGGCTATTTAGGTCGCGACTGAGATGTATTTACAATTGATTGATTATAAGTGGTAATCAATATCATGTGTCACAGGTCCTTCTTAGTGCAGATTGAATCCTATCAACCAAGTTGCAGTGTGGCCATCAATCTAGGTGACTTGACATTGCGCTTCCTGTTGAATACCTCCAACCAACATTTTATCTCAATATAGTACACTCAATGTCGAATCACTTGGACTAGTGAACACATTGCAACCTGATCGATAGGATTCGATCTACACTAAGAAGGATCTGACATACATAACATTGATTAACACCTAATGATCAGCCAATCGTAAACAGATCAAAATAAATGCGATGATGCTTTCTGGAGACAAATGACCATCACTTGATCTAAAAATATGTACGAAAAAATAGTTATTGATGGAAATTCGATAGTATTTATATCTCATTAGGACAAGATCTTGTTTTTATTGTGATGTACATATTTAGTATAGATGTGTTTAAAGTCAACGAGATATATTATCTATGTTGTAAGTTATTGATTACGGCATCACATCAAAGTGAAAGTCAGTTTAGTTCTAAATGCAAGTGAACATGTATTAATGAATGATAGTCATCCCTATTATGGGTTATATATTAACCATTGTTTAAATAAATTATATAATTTGAAAGATTATAATGAATGTGAGTGTAATTTTTTTATAATATACTTCATTGACCATAAAACATAAACTACATTACATTATCATTTATATGAAGCATATGCAGTTTACGCGACTGTTGATGCTACCTTGATGTAGTGGTCGAGGTATACTGGCTAGGACAATCATTCTACAGGGTCCTACCATGACAGACAAGTCGGTTGAAGAATGGTAAGACTAAAAGCAGTAAACCTAAGTTCCAAGGGCGAAGTCATACTGCTGACTGTACAGAGGTGTGACAGCAGTAAGGGGTTTCTGTCAGAAAAGGTCGACCCTAAAAATGCACACATCTCCTTATCCCACGGATATCCGTCTCTGGCGTTAAGGTCTCAACACGAAAATTACTCACAAATAGGTCGTGTGTGACCGACCTCATGCATTTGTCCCTTGGGCACTGAGGTCACACTCTCAGGTTACTAAGACCACCTCTAACTCAATTTCCTTTTCACGTACCTCCAGAAGAACCCTTTCACATTTGGACAACCGAGAATTTATATCCACCCTCATACTTCTAACAGCACTGAAGACTGATACAGTTTACAGTTACCTAAACAGATAATCTAAATAAAGAAGTAATTAACCTACTATCAATTATCTGTTGAATATAATGGAAGGTGATTGGGCAACATTGTCAAATGATAAACGTTAGACATATATAACATTAAATACCAGCTAAATGATCTAGAAGCTACATGTTCTCGTATATTATCACAGGTCCTTGGTTTGATACCCTTTGTAACCAATGATTACTCATTGCTTAGGAATGCAATACAAAATGAAACAATAGTTCACATCTATTTTCTTTTTATCTAACTTAGTTAAGTTCGAGTGATTTATATTTAAATAAATATCTATATATTGATTTATTTATTTACATAAATTCTGTTGCTAAGTGAACCGTTACATGGAGATAAAATGGATTTCTCATATCAAACCATAGTGAAATTTCTTTATTATTTTTTTTAAAGACTAATCTAATCAACTATAGAAATAATGTTTATTATTTCAGGTTCAAATAACTGCATTGAAGAATAATCATATGGATAACCATTTTTCGAAGAAAAAAAAAGATTTATATATTCATAATGAATTTTCATGAATAACTTCTTGAATAAATCCATTCAATGTGTGAATGTTTAATGTTTAATTAACCTTTCTAACTATAATTCACTGATAATGTTGTTTATTAATATCTAGTTCTTTCTATTATCCAATGCTTCCAGGTTTTCTATGGTGGTCTAGCTTCAACTAATTCATGATCTTAACCATTGAAACTATGAAATATCTTTAAGGATGTATGAGTGTGATTATAATTTATAGATGATCTTTGAACAACGCTAGACTGATAGTGAGTGTGTTCACTTAGTAACCAAGACCAAATGATGGTTGTAAACCAATATGAAGAATTCGAATTAGGATTTTCAGTTGATTATTATTATTGGTGGCTTTATTCAATATTATATTTTTGGTACATTATAGAATTCTTAGCACCAAGTTTTTCAACAAGTTTCCCTTTCTTATTTCTCGATCAGTTCCTTGCGATAAATATTGAGTGGTCGCCAGTTAGATGTTAGCGGTTCAGGAATCAACATCTGATAAATGTATATCCTTTTCGATTCATATAGTCAGTAACCATGATGTCTCTGATTGAGCTCTTTTGTAACTTGTACAGCGAAATGTCGTAAACATTAGATTTTGGATTTTCATCACGAACTGACATCAACTATAATGCGAAAACTCTATTTAACGAAATGGATGCATGAATTTCGCGCCAAAATCCGAGACCTGTTATCTTATATCTGATTGGTTCGTCCATAAATTATAGTGTCGCAGTTGTGTGTGTATTAAACAAAATAATTGATACTTCATTCATTTACATTGATTGTTTTAATCATGTTAAGGACTATGATTATTCGGTTTATAACAGTAAATAAATCCCCAAAATCAATAGCTCTGTAAGTCTTCGACATTTGGCGCTTATTGCATTAGTTTTAATCGACTCATATAGCTGAAGGCACTCAGTCATGCATCTGCATCAGATCACGAATGGAAACAACATGCTCAACTTCTCCTGCAACCGCTAGCCAGTTTAGATCAATCACTTCTCGATATATTGATAACCTATCAAATATATCTTCGAATTTCCTCGCTTCTGACTTTTGATTTGACTGGGTGGTCACGATTCAATTATAGAAGGTGTTACTGGTTAAAGTATTTTCAAACTAGAAATACCTTCAACATCTTCAGGTCTCTATTGATTAGGAAATATTTTTCTATTGACTATGGGAAATGAAATAATATAATAAGCGTTTGAAAACTACGAAACAAGATGAAACCTTCCAATGAAATTTACAAAATTTAGCTTATAATCTATTAACAACATTTCGATTAGATTCTCATTAAGCTTTACTCTAATATACAGTAATATTTATATCGATATACGAAATTGATTAAATCAATCAAGGCAGTTTACGAGACATTAGTAATAATGGAGTGAACATCAACTCTGAGATGTAGATACATACAGCCGAGTTCCAAATAGGAAGAAACACGCGTCCTGGATTCCACTGCTAGCTACTATCCATCTTTGCATATAACGCTTGTGAATTAAGGCTATATCGAGGCAATCCGCACAGGATGCACATATGTCAACATGAGACTGATCAACTGCAGTCCTAAATAACAATGGGAAGATACAAGTAAAGCAACACCAAATGAATGGAATAGAATACATAAATAAGTGAAAAGTACAAATTGGTAGTGTGACGACAGGTGTTCTAGTTGTGATAAGAACAATAAAGACTTGAATCAATGTTACGTAATGGGAAATAGGTCAATGATTAAAAAAATATAGACACTGATTACGTAATAAGTGTTCTGACAATTGGACCGTGAAACACATATATGAGAGAAAATAAAACAAAATGGTAGGACGGGGGTGAAGAAAAATCAACGAAAGGAGAGTATAGAAAATAATAATAAATAAAATCATTTGTTAAGGTCAAGGAAGACATAAGGGTGTTACAAATCTCTTACAGAACACAAAGATTTGGATTGTTGGCTCGAATTTCTATAGCTTTTGCTATATGTAAGAGACGAGATGGAACACTATAAAGAAAACTAGTAGTAATATGATAAATAACTTTAAACCACTTATTTCTGTTTACTACATGACCGCTATCGATCAAGTGTAATAGAACCGAGCTGTGTACTGATTTGACAGTACCTATTCCTAACCACGAGGAGAGGTGTTCACTAACTCTTTGGTTGAATGATTTCGTATATGCATCTAATCGTATATGAATCTAATCGAACACAATATTGTTCGCTTATATATATATATATATATATATATATATATATATATATATATATAATTCTAAAAATATCTCATCAATTTATCGATTTGGACTTATTTCCGCTTGAATGTGTGCATCATTTTTCTCAGGTACAACTATTACGTAAATAAGTCAGTTTATTTTGATGTCGCTCAAATGTCTACTGGTTAGTACATAGTGAGAACAAGTTTCCTATCACTAATTTGTTTTGTAGTTCGACCAATATATTATATACTTGGCATATTTTCTATCAACTTATTTATAAATACTATGAGATTTTGTGGATATAACCAGCGTAAAAAATACGAGATTACTACGACATAATGTTTGCATAACAGTTTAGTTTACTTACACTATCGCTAGAAGTGATTTTTAATACTGTCGTTTATCTAAGTTGGAGATAACAGTACTCTTGAATAGACCCATAGGTACGGTGACACCTTAAGTTTATCCTCTACGAAAAACATATAAAACTGGTTAACATCTTTGACTAGTTCCAGATATGGTCAATTCACCTTAATACACCACTGCGAAATGGCTAGTTGAACTTCTGAAGCAATTACGCAATGGAGTTCGACGGCACAAAGTGAAAGATGGTTTTAAATTTATGGATATTGTATTTACAAAAGTGTTTCTTATATAAACAATTGATTTCGTATTAAGTTATTTATAAAATCGAGGATTGGAAATCAGAATACCCCTCTCTGCTCTAAAAGAATAATCATTTAAAATTTCGAGGAATATATATTTTTAGTTTCATAAAGAACTCTGCAGATAATGCAACGCCGTTGCTACGGTCACTGTAAGGACGCGTCCTGGTCGATTTCTTTCTAGAACAATTGGAAAACTGACCCTGAAAGATGTAATAGGCAAACTAGAATTTTTTGTTGCTGTACGAATGATATACTGATAATTACAAAAAACAATAGCAAAGCTTAGAGCCTATTGAAAACAGTTATAAGGGTTCATTAGGCAAATTCTTTCACAATAAGAAAGAATATCCAACATAATCTTTCTAGACGTCTTATTTTCGAGAACTGATGGGTCAATAAAAACAAACTTTTATCGTAAGCTGACTATGCAGTGACAATATACACAGTTCATGAGCCTAATTCCACTAAACTATCAGATAAACATGGATGAAACTTCAACCCATAGACACGAGATTATTTGCTCGAATGATAGCCTTAAAGATGAACGAAAACTTATTCATAGTTTACTACGTACGTATGGATAATTTACAAAGTTCCAAGATGAACATAGGACTACAACTGAACCATGAAATACTATTGAGCCAGCGTCCAGCGGTGTTAAATTCTAACTTCAATCAATCCATTGTCTTGCGCGACCATTTATCTGGGGTGGATAACTGTCTCACACTCGACACGTATTGGACTCCACTGGTCACAGCTTCAGTAAAAGGCTCCATGCTGAGAAGATCCACACAAAATCTGTCCCCTATCTCCTTGCTGATTGTGTTGAGTAGAAAATAAATTGTGTCACCCACAAATAATGACTAATTCAAAACCCTTTATCATTAACGAAATACCTGAAACGGCGACCTGAAGCGATCACACAGTAATCCGTAGCTTTATACAACCTCGTGACGAAGATATTGAAGATTGGATATAAAAGTCACTTTTGAATAAACGGCGAAAAACCATTATTTCGAATAGCAAGTAAACATAAGTCATTTGCCCAAACCAAATGAGACAGTTACCTAAAAATCAAGAGCAACTAATCATTCAACCTAAACTTCAGAAGATTGAGGTTTTTATTCAGAATAGTTTTGTCGTATCCTAATCTACGTGAGTCAGGTATATTAACCATTGTCAACAAATGGCCAACATAATTGGAAAGTTTTATTATGAATTCCTACTGAACAAAATTAACTGTTGGAGGAAACAACCTTTAACAAATACAACCATAGATTTAAAACATCTATTATTATTTTTAGGTGGAAATGCATGGTGACTGGTAGTTGAATCCAGGATGCTTGTTTCGTCCTAGTTAGGACACTCCAGCTCGAATAACTGCTAGCAACTGTCTATCTACGTTTGAAAATATTTGTGACTTAGTGGCAATATTCAATCAACTCGTGAAACATTCACATATTCCAAAACAGACTGATTAGTTGCTGTCCTCAACTTCAATAGGAAGATTCAAATGATCAGCATATATAGATGTTATTCAAATTTAGTGAACAGGAACGAAATTGAAGTCCTAACCTTGACACAAATGTCTCTATCGTAGGTGAGCGCCACTCACAGTGCTGTGTGAAAGCGATCATGTCAATAGAATAATCTGTCAGTTATGAACGTATTATTATTATTCATTGTCACGTCCAGTGATGATTTATGCACGCAACATGCTGTACTGTCACGATTTATCTTTTCACACTTGTTCAAATTCTACCTGCGTGACTACAATTGATCTCTTTAATTTTTTCTCGTCAAAAGTGCAAAATATTCTTTATGGTGTTTTCACAGTTGACAGAACGAATGTCACCTTCAAAACTTTCACAAGTGCACCAGTAAAATTCAATCATATTGATACTAATGTTGTCGTAGAATTCATTCAATAATGCATGGACATTGCAACTGATGTCGACAGATATAAGTAGTACGTGTCACCAATCGAAACTGACATGCCTGGTAGCAGAAGTTTAAGGATATTCGAAGAGAATAGAACGAGAATAGAGAATGATTGATGTGGAAACGAAAGAACAACGAGGTCTGTGATAACTGATTGACATCCTGTAAATAAAGTGTTAATTGTTGGATTCTCAGATTTAACTAAGATGTTCAGTAAATTCGATTGTGCCCACTTGTTTTCCCGTTCACTACAGGA